GGAATGGTTACAACTGTCATAGGCTTGGAGTAGGAGAGGAAGAAGGAGAAGAATGGTGGTCTTTTCATCAGGAAGGGTGCACCTACTAGCATTCCAGTGTTTCTTGTGCACAGTGCTCCATGGGCAATCTCATGGTCCATTGTTTTTAGAGTTAACAAACGGGAACCAGTTACTGATGGCGATCGATTTCGGGCGGCAAATTGCGTCGATGCTAGTTGATAGAAATATGAAAAAGGAAAAGAGACAAAAGGCCCAAAATAAAATATGATGAATGAATCAATAATGTCATACAGTCTGGTCTACCAGCCAGGTCGCCCGGGGTCACCTTGGTTGCCCGGGCTGCCCGGCCGTGCAAGGGTCAGGGAAGGGTGCAGCAAAAAAAAAAAAAAAAGTTAATAAAATCCCCTCCCCAAAAAACAATGTAATTGCAAGGAACATGAGCGAGAGCAATAGACAGAATTCCAAATTGCAAAATCACGCTGTAGCCCAGATAGTCGTGTAGTACGTGTACCAAGCAGAAAGCACAATGCACCGAGTTATGAGCCAAATAAGAGCACAATAATTAACTCAAATGTCAATGTTGATACTCTCTGTCCGCACCAACACAGTATCCAATGTCGGCGCTCAGCACCCAGCTGATCTACTCAGCACCTATACTACTAGCCTACACTTTCATGCAAAGGAATCACTTCGTTGCCAAAGAATGTACGTGACGATGTTGCCAATGCAGACTGCCGGCATACACCAGGTACGTGCCTCTCTCCTCTCACATTACCCCTCGACTTCCCACAGTGTGCCTACCCGACACCCAAAGACCACCATCACCATCACCAGCCTCCGCTGAGCAAGCCCGGCTATGGCTGCTTAGGGCCCAACACCACAATGTGCCCGTTGTCGGGCGGCTCAAGCCTATCGCCGCCCTTTACTTCCTCTGAAAAGACAAGAGTTAAGGACTAAAATTCAAATTCTGAGTGTGTTCGACCAGATTGAAGTTCGTGATTGGAGCAGGGAAAGTGAGTTTTATTATTCGGAGACAGAATCACAGAATGCCGGGACTGGCATGACGAAGTTGAGACACATAACTGAGCGAGGATGCTCAACGGCTCAATGAAACGTTGTCAGAGAATTGAAGGGAAACAGGAAAGGGAGTAATTTGAACTCACTCACGTTCGATTGGGGAAAAGGGTTATGATTGCCCATGGGTGCGTGGCTGCGGACCGAAGTGGGCCGAGGAAAAGAGTTACGCCAGGGACTCGACAGAAGAAAGGCGGGAAGACCGCTGTGAAAGAGGAAACAAGGAAAATCAGTGCTCGGACGACAGTTGTGGTGGAACGATTGACAGCGTCTCCAAATTGGTTGAGTGTCGGGACATTAGCGGGGTTGGACTCGTTTGTGGTAACGAGTGTGAAATGAAGAAGGCCGGGGCTGATTCGGAAATCAAAGGAAAATACTTGAGGCCTGGGAAAGCTTCGGTACCAGGCCGCTGCGAGTTTCCGACAGCCTGGCCTGTTTCGTTGCACTCATGCCTGTTCGGCGGACGAAGTAGGCTCGGGACTGGGCCCGGTACCGGGGCGCTGCAATCTTCTTGACACCATGCCTGACTCCCGGTGGTACCGGGGACTGCTGCTGCTGGGCCCAGTGAAGTATTTAAGCTGGACTGAGCCCGTGCTTGGGGGACTTCGGGGGGGCGCACGAGACAGGTGCACAGTGGGAACTGGCGCACTGGCTAGCCCGCAGAGGGCTAGCTCACGAAGGTTTGGGTGCATGCGTACGAAGGGGGAGGACGGGAGGAACTGGGACAGACATGTGCTGCTGGTAGTCCTCTCCCGACGAGGTACCAGCGCTCACCGATGAAGGGGGACTCCGTGCACTGAAAAGGCACATGTCAGGAGTGCATGAGGGGACTAATCAAAGGGACAATCGCGTACAGCGGACAGCGCTAAAGTGGACATTGCCTATGGAAGGGGCATCAATCAAGCGTGCAAGTGCAAATCAAGAACCCAGCAACGCATGCCAATGAACGGAGACCGGATCTCAATCGGCGCACGACGCACGGGAGTTGCAACTCAACAGCGGACTTGCTTATGCACGGATCGATCACGGAGGAGGAAAAAGAATCAACGGACTCATGGTTGGCTGTCCAGCTCTTCAGACGTGCGCCTACTGTCGGAAGTCGGCAATCAAGCTCGAAGTTTGATGCGCCCACAACGATCTTGCTGTGTGCAAAGGGGCCGTTTTCCAGGGACAGAGGTTCTGAGCACTATCCAAACAAGTGATCCGCGTGCTTGAATGGGCACGGGGAAAACTAGGAGATTTAGGAAGGGCATTCCGGTACCGGGGTGAACATTGGGACCACGAGGGAACGCCGCGCCTGTCAGATGCGTGCGTGCCGTTTGTGCCACTTCGTGCCCGTGAGTTGAAGTGTCAAGCAAGCTCGCGGACACGGAGGCATTGAGCAATGGTGGGCGCCTCTGGGAGTGAACAGGAAGGAGGGACAAAGCCAGGGAGGAAGGGAGAGATCGGACATGGGGAGAGAGAGATAAAGTGAGAGAGGTGGGGCGCTGCTAGTTTCCGCCGCAATCGGCTATGTGCGCAGGCTAACTTAGCTTGCATGCTGCCTTGAATGCTCTTGATAGCGAAAGCGGTCAGGTTCATCTGCAAGTGCTGGGTTGAGCACAACGGGAACCGTACTGGAGTTGTGGGTGGGTGTGGGTGGGTGTGGGTGCGTGAGGTACAGGCAGAGAGGGAGAACAAGTAAAGTTCCCAACCTCGCGGCTGGCCTCACGCTACTTCCATCGACAAGATGAGGTAAATCGGATGAATCTACCACCAGAACATGGAAATATAGTAATATACACTGCCACTATACACGCATTATTGAGTGTGCGCACGCAGAGCCTAATTAACAGTCCTGTTCGACGGATCCTCTTTGCGAACGGGGAGATCGCCTTCACGAGCGGGTTGGATCATCAGCACGGGCGGAGGGGTCAGCATCATGAGAGGGGTGATCGGTGCGAGAGGGTAGATCATCATCGTGAGCGGGTTGACCAGCATGAGCGGGGAGATCATCATCACGAGTGGGTGGATCATCAGCGCGCGCAAAACAGGAGCGAGTGCTCGAAGTCGGGGAAGCGCGCACGAGGCAGGAGCGACCAGCGAAGCCAGGACCACGCGAAAGGCAGCGCTGGCGGGTACGGGCTGCGCTGGGGAGTACGGGGGAGAGAGAGGGAAGGCCGTGCGAGCTGGCAGCTGTTGCGCATGCAGATATCGAAGTTGCGCAGCTGGAAAGGGGATCCGCGCGGAAAAGCACGAGCCGTGTGTGGGATAGCTGCTGCACGCGCGCGCGTGAGAGAGAGAGAGAGAGAGAGAGAGAGAGAGAGAGAGAGAGAGAGAGAGAGAGAGAGAGAGAGAGAGAGAGAGAGAGATTTGGAACTGGCGCGCACTGTCGCTATTCTACCATCCTGCGAAACCACAGCCAAGGGAACTGGCTAGGAAGAAACGGCGGGAGTAACTATGACTCTTACAAGACAGCCAAATGCTGCGTCATCTAGTTAGTGACGCGCGTGAATGGATTAACGAGATTCCCACTGCCCCTATCTACCATCCTGCGAAACCACAGCCAAGGGAAATGGCTAGGAAGAAACGGCGGGAGTAAGTATGACTCTTACAAGACAGCCGAATGCCGCGTCATCTAGTTAGTGACGCGCATGAATGGATTAACGAGATTCCCACTGTCCCTATCTACCATCCTGCAAAACGACAGCCGAGGGAACGAGCATGGAAGAATTTGCAGGGAAACTGTTGGTTTGGACTCTAGTTCGACTCGGTGAAACGACTTGGGAGGTGTAGATTAAGCGGGAGCTCACGGCGCAAGGTAAATGCCGCTACTTTTAATGTTATTTACTCGTTTCGTGAGCTTGCATTGGTCGCTGCGGATGTCGACGCAATATGATTTCTGCTCCGTGCTCTGAGTGCCGAAGTGAAGGGATTCAATCAAGCATGGGCGCGCACGAGCGTGCGTGAGCGCAAGAGCGCCGAGTCTCAGCCAAACTCGAAAGCTCACTCGACCGGGCCAACTCTGACCGAAGGATGGCTGAAACGAACTCAATGGGCACGAACAACAGGTTCACATGCCAATGATACCGGACTCTACAGGGGAAAGGTCTCAGCAAACTCAACAAGAATATACCATGCTCAGCAGGGAGTCAGTGGGCTCAGAGGGAAACCATCAAACTCAGGGATAGAACCGTACTCTGAGCAGGAACTCGGCAGACTCGATGGCAAACTACGATCTCAGCCCATACTCAGCACCGATCAGTAAGTCTGGGCCAGACCAGCGGACAGACAGAAAACACAAGTCCAACGGACTTTACTAAACCCAAGGAATATCTCAGACTCAATTGATCTTGCTCATGGGATTTGCTGAGCTAAAGACCGTGAGCTGTATTAAGCAGGCTCAGTTTGAGACCGTGGGACCGCAGTGGATTCAAGACTCTCAACGAGGGAGCGAGTGCAGTCGGACACTCTACTCTCCTCTACGACACTCTATGTAATCTACTCGACGACACTCTACTCTACTCTATGACACTCTACGACACTCTACTGTACTCTTCGACACTCTACGACACTCGAGTCTACTCTACTCTTCGACACTCTACGACATTCTACTTTACTCTACTTTACTCTACTTTACTCTACTCTACTCTACTCTACTCTACGACACTCTACTCTACTCTACCACACTCTACGACACTCTATGAGACTCTACTCTACGACACTCTACTCTAACTCGACAGAATCAGCAAAAAGCTCAGCGAACGTCTAGTCAGCGGGGCCGAGAACCTACTAATACAGGGGATATCAGTACACAGCGGGACACAGGCTGCGGGGACCGGACTCGGTGAATTCATCCGTGCCAACAACAATGAGCGAGTTGGAGGGTGTGCCTTAGGCTACGGGCAGGAAAGTCGGGACTCTGATAGGGATTTAGAAAATACCCATTCCAACCACTCACCCATAAACCTGGGCACGGTGGGAACTTAAAACAATAAATTGGACGTTTCTCATTTACTGTTTATACCAGTGTCCCTGTGGTCGGCGCGGATCTGGAAGTGTGCGCTTGGATACTAACTAGGTTGTTTTGCAGGTTGCAGGAGCCCGAAATTAGCCCTCCCGTGGGTGACAGACACGGGATAGACACGGTTGATCCCGCTGGCCGGCAGATCACTTCTTCCGGTCGACACCTTGTGTGCCTTTTCCAGCCCTTGGCCTACCAGCGGCCGTCAGCTCTCAAACCAGCAGCGCTGAGCTCTGCTTTGTCGAGCTCTGGGCCCCAGTGTCAGCGCCCAGGCCCCCAGTGGCTGTTACGGGCCTGGGCCCGTTACAGTTGGGCACACCCAGGTAGTCCACGAGGCTACAAGTGTTTGTCGCGATCTCATTGGCTGGCTGGCCAATGTGTGACGAAGATGCTGCATTCTCATTGGCCCGCGGCCGTTCTGTGATGTGTCGGCCCCTGGTGGCTCACACCCAGGGCCTCAACTGTACGTGCCCTGGGCTCAACTTCCTCTCAAGCTGCTGCTTCCGGAATGAGCCAAGAAAAAGGCTCACGTTACTCTGTAACCAACTGGTGTGCTGCAACTGTCTGATACCCGACATGCAGGATTGACAAAAATACTATTTAAAATAGGCCTCTCAATGGCTCTCATAGATATTCTGGTCCGCCTTCACTTAGGCGGGCAAAAGTCTGTACGGGGCCTCAGCCGAGATGTGGGGTGAGCCCTAGAAGGGCCACTGCGAAGATTCAGGCCCGCATATAGATTCCAACAGCCCTTCAGCGTGATCACACTGGCCTGTACCCAGGCCTTGGCACATATTGGCAGGCCCACCTTCACTTAGGGTGGGCAAGGCCTTTTCCAGCACTGCCAAGGGCTCAAATCCTCGCATAATGTAGAAAAAAAAAACTGGACAACTTTTGCCTCAGGGTCACATCGAGATTCTTTACCAAATGTAAAAACATAATTTTAAATTAAAAAAGAATGTTTTGAATTTTTTAAATAGGCTACCAGCCGGGCCGCCCGGGTCACCCTATTTTCCCGGGCGGCCCGGCCGTGCAAGCACCAGGGAAGGTCCCAGCCAAAAAACAAAAAAAACAATCCAACAAATCCGGAAAAAAACTATGCTATCCGGAAAAAAACTATGTTATGCAGAAAAATAAACTGAACAACTTTTGCCTCAGGGTCACATCGAAATTCTTTACCAAATTTAAAATAAAAATCTAAATTAAAAAATAATTTATTTATTTTTTTTTCAATTTCTTTTTGGCCCGGCCGGGCAAGTGGACCCGGGCCACTCTGGTAGCCTATATTTTTTTATAATTTTTTTTTTTTCCCCTTTGGCTCGGCCGGGCACGTGGTCCCCGGGCCACTCTTTTTCATTCTTTGGGTCGCGGCCATGCTGACTCGGTGTTGACTGCGCAACCTTGTCTTCAACTCGCGATGGTTAGATGTCAGCTGCTGCAATAGGTTGAAGTTGATTTCATGAGCAATCTTTATGACCTATCTGTCGCGTTCTGGAGACTCGCCGTGTCCAACGTGTGATGCTCTTTCTCTTTCCCCATCCTCTCTCTAAGAGAGTCAATACTACTCAATAGGCATAAAATTGGGAAAATGAAAAAAAAAAAAAAAAAAAGAGAGAATGAGAATCAGAATAATGTAAGGACCTGCCCCAAACACGGACTGAGAACACAGCTGATTTCTGAGTTTTGCCGCTAGAATCAATGCCTTCCTGAGATTCCCGCTATCTGCCGAGTTTTCTAAGTTGGTGTGTGTGCGTGTTTGCTGGTCTGCGGGCCTGTCTGAGTGCTTGTCGGCGTGAGTGTGTGTGTGTGTGTGACCCGCAAGGGTACTGGCTTGTTGGCAGGCCCCGCACCTGTGGTCATGACTTTGAGGGTTGCAGCGGGGAAATCACTCACGACACTTAGAGCAGCAGGGAAAAGCACTCAAGTAGTGCGTAGGCCAGTACCACTCAAGTAGTGGTAATGTGTCGGGGACTGGAGGACGAGCAGAAGAAGACAAAAGTTGGCATTTTTAGAGGCCCAGTAGTTGTAGGCTAGGTCTAGGCAGGTACCAGTCCAAGTAGTCTGAGTTTGGGACCTGTGTGGATGATATCAGAGCCTGCAATGATGTTTCCCTCCAAAAGGGAGGACGTACCGGTTGCTTGGAGGCCGCGCGGCCTGGAAGTCGCCACCCAAGGAGGCTGCTGCCTCGCTGTACCACAGGGGAAGAGCAATGAGCTCTTCCTCATTTGCTGCATGCAAGTTTGGGTGACACACTGCTGGAGCGCGTGGTAGAGCAGCACTGGTGTACTGCGCTCTGTGGGAAAGAAGGAGCGCCCAGCTCTCCACCTTGGCTATGGCGGAGGAGCTCGGGCAGGAGGAGGAGGAAGAAGGGACTAGGAGAGGGGGGCGCCAGGGGTACTTACCTGGCTGTGGTGGAAGCCATCTCCATCGCCTTGGTGGGCGCTGCATCTGGAAGCCCCCCGTTGGGGTAGAGCTGCATCAAGAAGCTTCGAGGCAGAGTCAGGCATGGCGGCCTGAGTGGAAGTGGCCATAGCTGCTTTGCGCGGTCTTTTGCATGTCAGGGAAAGGCCCTAATAGTCCGCCATAGCCTCGGCCTCATGAAGAGGAAGGAGACGGGCTGCCATGGCTATGGTGGACCTCCAGTTGTGCTGTCAGTGGAAGAGGGATTCGGACATTAATTCTGGTTCTGCCATTCATCATTATTATTTATTATTATTTATTGTTTGAATAAGAGGGGAGGAAAAAAGGAGGAGGAGTTTGGTTGGCGAGGACAAAGCGGGATTATTATTGGTCTTTGCTGCTGTACATCTTCTTCTTCTTCTTCTTCTTCTTCTTCTTCTTTCCCTCTCTCTCCTCGTAAGTTCATTCATTTCTTTAGCAATTGGACGGCATTGTGCTTTCTCGTGACTTTTGCACTTTGAAATTGGCCAGGATCGTAACAATACTCGTATGGTAAACGAAGTTGTGGGTTTGTTGATGTGGCAGGTGAGCCCCATTGAGTATGGGCATGTCCTGCTGGTGCCGCGCCTAGCAGACTGCATTCCTCAGCAGCTTTCCTCCGACACCTTTCTGGAAGCTCTGAACATGGCCATCGAAGCGGACAGCCCCTTCTTTCGTGTGGGGTATAACAGTTTGGGCGCTTTCGCAACCGTCAACCACCTCCACTTCCAGGTGAGTGAGGCTTCTGCTCACCTTTACGCTTCCCAATTCTCCTTGGACTCTTGGAGTGGTAGTCGGCGAAGACATTTTGACATCCATTACCAAACAAGCAGTGGTAGTCGGCGAAGAGGTTTTGACATCCATTACCAAACAAGCAGTGGTAGTCGGCGAATACTTTTCGACACATGCCGCTCTCCTTGTTGTTTGCCTCCTGTCAGTTATTGATCTCAATGGCCTGCACCTCTGTGCAGAGCAGCCCTGTAGTGTGTTTCCATTGTTCTGTGTTTGTGTGTGTCCTCGTTCTGGTCTATTGAGTCTGTCATGGAGATGCCATCTTCTCTTTCTGTGCTGCCTTCGTCGTCTTTTTCTTCCTTCTTCTTTGTTCTTCCTCCTTTTCATTTCGTTTTCCATGCTGCTTCTCCTTCCTCCCTTCTTCTTCCTCCCTTCTTCCGTCGTCTTCTTCCTTCTTCTTTTTGCTTCTTCCTTCTCCTTTAAATTTTTCTTTTTTTCTGTCCTCTTCCTCCTTCCTTCTTCTTCCTTCTCCTTTCTTCCTTTGTCTTCTTTCTTCTTTTCTTCATGTTTCCTCCTTCTTCTTCCTTTTTCTCCTTTTTCATCCACTTTTTTCATTTGTATTTTTCCTTCTTCTTTTTTGGCTTCTTTTTCTTTCTTTCTTCTTCGTTCTTCCTCTTCCTTTTTCCGACTTCCTTCTTCTTTGCCCTCCTTTTTCCTTCTTCTTCCCCCCTTCTTCTTTCTTCTTCCTCCCTTCTTCATTCTTTTCTTCGTCTTCCTTCTTCCCTCCTGTGTCTTCTTCCTTTGTCTTCTTCATCCTCCTCCTTCCTTCTTCCGCCTTCTTCCTGTCCTCAGCCTGTGACTTGATGCGGCTTGTGCTTTGACGTTCCTCAGATCCACTGTGAGCTTTGTTGCATCGTACCCACCCCCACCCCAGTTGGACAGTTGTATCATCCCCACCTGCTTTTCTTTTTTTTTCTTTTCTTTTTTTTTTTCTTTTTTTCTTTTCTTTTTTTTCCAAAAAACAGAACCTTACGGTTCTGGCTCCTTTTCCATTCTGGGGAGCATCAGTCCGGTTCCTATTCCACCGGCAAGTCAGAAATGATTACAAAAGGTACTCACACACGCTCCTCCCCTTTATGGTAGGAAGGCCCGAAAGACGGCATTGATTACTTCCCACGGGAAGGATGTACCATCAATCACCCCTGCTTTTCTCTTCCATCCTTCCGCTTATTTTTTCCCTTTTCCGTCCTCTGTTTTCCTTTTCCTCTCTCTCCAACTTTCATTTTGCAAACCTCTCTCCTCAGACCTCTCCTTCTCAACCTCTCTCCTCATACCCCTCCTTTTCAACCTCTCTCCTCAGACCCCTCCCTGTGAGTCTCTGGACACCATGCTTGAAGTTTGCATAATGATCAGGGAACCACTGGAGGACACAGGGAGGCTATAAAATTAGTATAAAATACTATAAATTGATGCTCACCTCTGTGTGTGTTTGTTTGTGGGGAAGAAGCCTTCACCATCATATCTCGGCGAAATGCACTGAAAAGAGCGCACATGAAAGACTCAAAAGAGAAGGGGTCTGCAATCCGGGACAGGCCACAGCGAAGAGCAAATGAGAAAGACGCAATCACTCCCCATACGATTGCACAAAAACGTCCGTTTGCTTATCCGTCAAAATTGGAATGATGATTAGCATGGCCCCTGCACTTTCAAGGATGACACGTGTAAATCGAGAAATGGTAAAAAAAATAAAGAAGGAATAAACTTCAATAAAGTGAAAAAAAGAAACAACAACTGATCACAAGGCAGCAAGGGCAAGAGCTGCTGCAGCACAAGGCAGCGAGGGAAAGTGTTACGGACTCCGCCAGGGCTCGATCCCTGGTCTATCTTTTTGCTGTTTCTGCTGCATCCCGTTTTCGGCCTGGCACCCTTTTTTCCAAACCCCTCCTTTGGTACCGTCGGATTTTGGACAACTGGCGCTATGCTGCAATTCGGGCGCCACTTTCAAATACTGCATTTTTCAGTTCTGCCCTCGGGGCTATTGCGGAAATGCCCCTGGTACCGTACGTGTCACCGGTACTTATATCGGCTCCCCGTACAGTACGGGGACCAGTCTCATACCAGTTTTCAGCTGCTGTACTCGTACTCAGTGTGACTTGTGGTTTCGGCATTCGGAATCCAAGACTTTGACTTTGTGCCCTTCCCACTGTGTCTGCATCCGACCCTCAGTCGTGTCGAGTGAGTGTGTGTGTGTGTGTGCTCTCACTCTCTCCCTCTCTCTCTCCTCTCCCTCGGCTCTCCCTCAGCCTCGCGCTCGTCATAGAAAGGCTGCTGCAGCACAAGGCAACATGGACGAGAAGCAGGAGCATAGGACAGGCTGGAGGGCACGGGGGAGGAGAGCGGGCAGGCAAACAGCACAAGCCAGCAAGGGAAAAGGTCATGACTCGCGATCCAAAAAAGACCAGACGACAAAGGCAAGGAGGGCATGGACAAGAAGCGGCAACAAAGGACATAAGTTGGAGGGCATGGGGGAGGAGAGAGGGCGGGCAAACAGCACAAGGCAAGGCAACATGAGGAAGGCATGGAGCTGAACAAAACAACTAGGCAAAGAACAGCAAACAAGAAAGGCTGCAAGTACTAAGAAGAAAAAAGCAACACACACACAAGAAAAGAAACTGATGATGAAAGATTGTTTTGTTGGAATTGCACCAACTCATCAGGAGGCTGAAGCGTCGACAATCTGCAGAATCCCCATATGGATGTTTTGTGTCATGAACCCATCAACCCTTGTTGAAAGTAGACTGCCAGCACGCAACACTACAAGTGAGCTTAGCAGCAGGCAACGAGTCAGCAAAGCACCAGGCAACGCTGCCGGGGCAGCCAGCAGACTGCAAGGAGCGACAGCGCGAGTGGACTGGCGGCAGAGCAACAGCACGGCAAAGCACGCAGCAGTGCTGCCGCAGCGGCAAAACAAACTGCACGTCACACAAGCAAAATGAACGGAAAAAAGACGATGCACACGGATGAACAGCAAGGCAACAGCCCAGTGAAGCACAAAGCAACACCAACAACACAGCCAAACTACCCTGCAATACACCAGCTGCAAAGAACGACATGAAGAGCAACCGGGATGGGCCGCAAGGCAGACACGGAGCATAGACAAGGCGGTCTGCACATCCAGCTGCTGGAGCAAGACCATATGCACCACAGACAGAGCGGCCGCCCTAAAGGCCTCCAAACTGCCAACCACCGACTGTTTAGCACTTCTTGAAGGTGCTCACCTAGACAAACTTCACAAAGAAAAAAGAAATACATAACACATAAAACTGATTGTGTGTGTGTGTGTGTGTGTGTGTGTGTGCGTGTGGGAGGGAGGGGGAGGGGGCGGGGGGAGAGATTGCAGGCCTACTATTTAATGAAACCATTTGCGGTAGAGAGGGCACCTACCATGCAAATTGGAACAGGCGGCCATGACCATTCCTTGACCGTCTACGAGCTTAAGGATTACCCTGTGCGGGGCTTGGTGCTGGAACTTGGGGACAGCCTGGAGGAGCTCGTTCGAGTTGTGGTTGGAACAGCGCAGCGGCTGCAAGATCGGAACACCCCTTTCAACATCTTTATTTCAGACAAGGGTGCAAGAGTCTTCCTCTACCCTCAGGTGCAGTATACCCCTCTTATGTCTGAAATAAGGGGTCTGAAGACTCCGAACTAACTGATGCCATTTTGTTTTGCTGAGCTTTGCGCCAAATTTCCACGAGTCTGTCAGACTGTTATGATCAGATTCCTGCCTCCTTGCTCGGTATAACACCAGTATGATCGCGTCGTGACCACTGTTTGCATCTCCTTATGTGTTGTTCTCTCCCTTGTCCATTCGGATTTGATCTCAGATTCTTTTTACTTTTTTATGTTTTGTGACCACAAGAGATTTTGTTTTGTTGGATGTTTAGATGCACTCATGGACGGAAGCAAGAGGGGAGGGGAAGAAGAAGAAAGGATGCCTTCTTGCGATTCTTGATGTGAATGGTCAGAGCTGACAGGCGCACGCACAGAAGGAAGGATGCCTTGTTGCGATTGTTGAGACAAATACATGAGGAGGGCAATCTGAGAGTCAATCATCCTGTAACAGGGAGCAAATTCGAGCAATCAATGTTGGTTAGGGAGACTTCGGCCAAACAGAAGGATGAGTGGGTGTGTAAATGATGTGTGAGGATTGAGCCCTCAAGTAGGGGCCTTGCCATGATGTACATGTTCTGGGCTAAGGCCACAGCAAGCCTCGTGCCCGCCCTAAGTGAAGGCGGGCCAGCAAATCAACAAGAGCCCTCTGTGCCAACATTTCACGAAGTGGGGTCCATACAGTTGCAGCATGCCAGTTGGTTGGAGTGCACCGAGTCTCGGATTTCAGAAAATGCTGAAATGCCCAGGGCCTCTGAGTTAGTTAGGCCGTGGGCACTCGAATGTGAGGCCGACAATGCATGCTGGGTATAGAGGCCGAAAATGCCGAAGGGAAATCGGCCCACTGTCTGAATCTGGCCGCAGGCCCTGATGAAAGAGGCGCAACTGCATTGCCCCGGGGCCCAACTGTATCGGGCTGGGTTCAGCCTCTGGGTCCCGAGCACAGGCTGAAGGGAGGCCGCCCACACGCTGCACTGGCATATAGGCAAGCAGGGCGAGTGGGCAGGGATCTTGGCCATTGCGGGCAATGCCGGCACGCTGCGCAAATGCGAGCTGCTGGCTGCTGCGCTGCACTAAGAGGTAGTGCAAGGCAGGCATGCGCTAGGCCGTAGGGCGCTGCCTGTGCACTGGGCGCTTGGCGGCAATAGCCGGGCTGCAGAGGGCGCAGAGGGGTGAAGGGCGAAGGTGGTTCTTCGGAGGTGAAGGGCRCTGTGTGGGTACAAGGGAGAGTGTGGGTGAAGAGGACACGTACCTGGTGGAGGTGGAGGTCGGCATTGGTGTTGACATCATCACTCGCTGGTAGTCAAGTTGTCTGGTTGCTTTTCATTGCTGTAGTTGTAGGATAGGCTGTAGAGTAGATAGGGCGCCTGGCGCCATTCACAAGAGAGAGCTACATTTGGGTTATGCTGTTGGTGTTGGGGCATGGACATTGACTCACGATTCTTCTGTATCATTCTCAATTGGATGGTTACTCGGTTCCATGTGCTATCTGCTTTGGCTTTGACTACTTGGACTTCAGTGTGATTTTGCATTCTGGATTTCTGTGCTTCGTCCATATTCATGTTCCTTGCA